ACACACACACACACACAAAAAAAACCCGGAGGGGGGAGAAGATATAACAACTATACCTTTTTGAAGTTGTTACAACAAGCAAATGGAAAGGACATTCTTGGGGGGGAGGGGAGAGAGGGAGGAGGGAGGGAGGTGTCGGTGATGGGCCATAATAATCATATACATTGTATATTGACAAAACAAAAATTTAATGAAAAAAAATTTTTTTTAATTAAAAATAGAAAATTAAAACCTCATTCACTGTTACATTAAGCACACAGCATTAATTTTAAGTAAGAATGGAGGTTGTTAGTCATAGCAGAAACTTTGTCATCTACCTAACTAATCATTTCTCCTCCGCCCCATCCCCCCATCTATTCTGTCCTATCAGAACAATTACTTGTTCAAGGGGCAGATTGAGATATCCTGACCTCAAGAAAAGCAGACCCCTGTGAGAACTCAAAGGTTTAACAATAATTGATCTAAACAAGCTATGATAAATGCTTTCTACTATACTTTTCTAATCTCCTTTTCAGCCAATTCTGGCCAATGATATGTACAGGCAGGTGGGGAGAAAGGGGCTTCTGTGGAAAATTTTCTTTCCTCGTTAATAAAATCAAAACAAACAGAAACCACTAACACTACTATTTCTTCTCCCTTTCTCCAGATTTGGATTCAGACAGAATGTTCAGAGCTGCTATAGAAATTTTCTGATCGTGAAGTAACAAACAAAATAAAAAGCCAACACACTACTAATAGTAGAGCAGAAGCTGATTGCTTAACAAACCATGAGATTATCTACCTCTTGATTTGTTTTTAGGTTAACAAAATAAGTGTCCTCATATTTTATATATATGTTTGTTTTTGGAGGCTGGCCAGTACAGGGATCTGAACCCTTGACCTTGGTGTTACAACACCACACTCTAACCAACTAAGCTAACCAGCCAGCCCAAATATCCTCATATTTTAAATTGCTACTAGTTGGGTTTCCTATGATTTGCTGTCAAAAACACCCATAACTAATACATTCACTAAATGTGCTCATATAGCAATGTTTTGACCCAGGTTTGATGGGAGACAATGCTTGAAATTTGTGTCACTTACCATAATACAAGAGTCTGCAGGCTCAAGGTCAAAGTCAGTGAAGTTCAAGAGAACACGGTGATTTTTTTCAACCCGAATGACCCAAGAACAGTCTGTGTTACTCCTGTATGGGCTGGGGTAATTTGGAGAATGAATCTCTCCATTGGGAGCCTGGAAAATCCCACCACAACCTGTAAGTGGAAAACCCAGTGCAACAATGAGAGGAATCCCCGATGCATAAAACTATAGCATTACCTGATAGTATACAGATCAATATCTATACTATCTATATTATACTATGTGATCAATATCATTACATGGTAGTACAGATCAATACACTACTTTGCCTCACTATCAGTTTTAGTTAGCCTGTACTAAAAACTTTGAAGAACTGAATATTCACCAGTAATTCATTTATCTCAACAGAAATAAGAAGAATGACATGGATGACACTAAGAAAATAATTCCAACACTCTAAATACTGATGCCAAAAGTTATTTAAAAAAATAATAATATGCGCAAATGAAGTCATGTTTTCACAAAGTCATGAAACACCTCTTCATTGTCCTCTAAAAATATAGCATACTGCGAGAATAACACATTCCCTTCCAAGAATTTTGATAATTCAGTAGTGTATGCTTTTATAAATAATTTAAATCTGCCTTTTAAAAATTTAATATTCTGGATGAAGTATAGTTACTTAGTTTTTAAAATTCCTATGATGATATCAAATACCTTTTAGGGCAATGTCTGCCTCTATGACCCAACTTTTCTTGGATTTGGATTTGTGGTAATATAAACCAATAACAGAAAAATGCAGCACTATTTTCTAATAATTGAGAATCATTTGGTGGTAATGAAACACTATGTGTGTGTATGTGTGCATGCATTTAGAGTCATACCTAATTAGCTTTAAGAGAATCTCATACAGTTACTATATTACCTTAGAATTGAAGAAGTAGGGCCATAAGGTGGCCTCAATCACATCTCTGCTTTGGCATTTTCCAGCTGTGGGACTTGGGCAAGTCCCTAACCTCTCTAAGCTTTGGTTTCCTCATAAGTAAGATGAGGATATGAAATGAATTTCCCTCATAGTGTGGTTGTGAGGATTAAATGAGATAATCCTTGTAAAATAAAAAGTGCCTGGCACATAGCAAGCATTCCATAAATGTAGCTATTATTAGTAGTTGAATGAGTAAATGTTTATTAAAATATTTTGTGCCAAAGTTTGTTATTTAAAAAAATCTGTAAGAGATAATTTATTTAGACTTCCTAAGATCTTGGGCAGAAAATCACTATACAACACACAGTAATTCCTTGGAATTCACAAATTTAACATTTACAATTTTGACATTTGCCAAGAAGACAAAGGTCTATGCTATGGCATGAGGTCATGTACCATTCATTTACTGATGCCCAGATTGGAGGTGACTAACAGACCCAAGTCCCTTGGAAGGTAAGCAAGTCTAGCCAATCACCCTAATAATGCCGTCATCATGGACTTGCATGTTTACATCCTTTTTTTCACATACATGGTGACACAGAGTTGAATTCTATATCACCTTTTTTAGGGAAGAGTATAGGCCAAGGCAGTGTTAGCCATCTGGGAAGTCATAAAGTTATCAGGGTCCAATCATGTCATGAAATTCAGTAAGGGCTCAGGTGAAGTTTTCTACGATGCGTCCTTTTACACTCACCTCCAGGGACTGCTTGCCATGAGGCATTGAAGCCTCTCCCATTTATAGAGCTGTCGGTCTTGAATCGGATTGCTAGCTTGTTTCCAGTGCTGGAGACCTGCATGGGGCTCTCAGATGATCTTTGGGCACACAACTGGGTCATTCTGGGAGAGTGGAAATCAGGACCTCCATAGACCTAAGTTGGGATTTTGAAAAAAGGACTTAAATTAAGGGATATGTTTAAGCAATGACGGCCCTGCCCCTGGCTCTTATTTTACCACCTGCTCTTGGATTCTATTATGATTAGACATTGAAACTTCAGCCTCCCTGGGTGGGGATGAACTATAAACTAGTGCTGACTTTTCAGAGGCACTCCCTCAGCCTTTGGAACACACAAGTGCAATCACACACGAAATGCCTGCTTGTTTCATCAGCCAAAATTGTAGAAGTGGACTGCATAGATTATTCCAGAACCTTCCTTATCTTCCCTCTTCCTCTTTTTCATGTCTTCATGGGATTTCCTGCTTTGCCTGGCCGAGACACTGCAGATAATAAAGTATTAAGTCTGATTTTCTAACTCTTATAGGCACATGTGAATAGTCTTAGCATAAAGCCATTTTGTTTATGAAATGGAATTCACTGAAGGTTATTGATTTCCCACTTATATTTTTAGGAATTCCCACCTACCCTGCAATCTGAATATTTTATAAGATTAGGCATTCAGTATAACGTTTTTGCTTCTTGAGGGAGGGGAAATATGGCCTCTATAAGTGTGTTCCGGAGTGTCCTACAGAAGGAAATGCCACAGATCCTCCCTTTGTCCCTCCTCCCAGCACAACCACCCCAGGAACTCAACCAAGCGCATCCATCTAGATGGATCTCTAGGTCCATCACCTCATCTTCAGACCGGGCTCCTCCAAATTTTCCAAACTGTGTGACTGGGACACAATGCCCAGAGACACATCCCTCCACACAGGTCCCCTTGGTCTCACATACAGCATCCTGCAGGCCAGTGTAGCTCAGCCCAGGCCAGGCTTCCAGGATCCTCTCACACAGGCTTCTCAGTCCCCTGGGCCCTGTTTATCTGGCATGTGCAGAGGGGAGGAGGGGTGGTTCAGGTCTTGTCAAACTTGAATTTATAGAGGAAAGGCCATTTTTGGTGACAGTTTTCAGGTATATTGGTATCTGAGTCCTTCACACAAATCTGTTCTCAGGGCCAAAGCAAGAGAAGCAGCTCTCACCCAGCGACCGCCCACCTCTCCCATCTGGGCCACTCTCCCCCCACTCCTCGGGCCCACCGCTGACTGATGGGGAAATCACTCAAGTGTTCTCTGGGGGGAGGGAGAGAACAAGAAGCCTACTTTTGGGGAGGAGTGTGTGATTTGAATCTATAATGATCTCTTTGTCTGATTAATTCCCCCCAAGCCATGCAGGAAAGGCCAAAATGAATGAAACTGCTGTTCTACAGAGGGCTGAGCACAAGGACTGTAATTGCAAAGGAATGAAGCAGGCTGACTGCTTCAGGCTTATTTTCATTAGGAGGAGCTGATGTCTGTGGGCCCCCTAAATTCCACCAAAAGCAGGACTTTAGGAAGACCTTTGTGTGGTCCTTTACACGTACACATATGCAAATGGAAGACACAAGATCACTTCTTGTTCAGATCATCCTTTCCCATTTTCAAGATCTCCCTACCCGCTCACCCAGAGTGCAGTCCCCAGAGCAGGAAACTGACGACTGTGCTCCTAATCATGCGAGCCCAGTAGGCAGCACGTATTTGGAGAGAACACTGAGCACAAGCTTTAAGTTCTAATAAAGAAAACTCACACGTCGGCAAAATATCTGTTTTTCCTGCTCATGCGTCCCCTTGAGATCACAAACATAATGGGTATGAGTTGGCTGGGTCTGGAAGCCTCCAGAAGAATAAACACTGCCACTTTTGACATTCTTTGCTCCCCCTGTCACCGAGCTGAGCTCATAAAGGACACTGAAGAGAGATCGGAACGAGCTAACCGTCCACCCCAAGCAATTGTCCTGCTGTATTGCAAGGAGTGCATTCCCCTCACTGAGGGAGGCCAATTCAGCTTGCCTCTACACAACCTTTTCAGAGATTGAAGTAAAATCAGTTGGAGTGTTTCCATGATCAAAACAATAGAATGATACTTTTGGATTCCACAAACATAACGGACAGCATATGACTCTTCAAAAGAGGAAAAAGATGGAAAGAATTCAGGGTGGGGTTCATTCGACTACAGCATATGACTAAACTTCGGGGGAAAAAGAATTGGTCTGATGATCAGAGATTAAAAAATGTGTTTTTAGCAAATGCTCGGGATGGAGAACATTTCAAAGCCTATGGTTTTAATCTGTTTTGAACATTTCTTTCTGCTCTGTTAGTTCCATTTATTGTTACAATCAAGTCAGCATTCCAGGGTTATGAGTAACCAAACGGCTGTTGCTTTATGCAGCTGGCCACTTTCTGGACACCGATTTTTGAGAGGGAAAAATATGGCTGCTGGTTAAATTTGGTGAAATCCAGGTAAACCCAATCTGGTGACAATAAGGTCCTACTTGGCTGCACTCAACAGAACAGGAAGGATGAATTTGCAGGCTGAGAAAGTTAGCAATATTTCCAGACCACACACCCACTGGTGGTAACAAATTCTAAAACCTACTGCTAACATGTTATCAGTGACTAAGGAATGAGGGATGGAAAAAATAATTTTACTGTCATTAACCCAAATTTAATACAGTACTTTCCACCTGAGTTAAGCATTTGCAGAGAAGCGAAATAAAAATTTTTAACGAAATATCAGGGGGTTGCTCATTTCAGTTTTAGAAAAAAACTTCCCCCAAATATTTAAGGGCCTCAAAATATTCCCCCAAAGCAGATGACCAGCCCCCTCTCTCCACAGCCATTTCTGTCAGGCAGGACCCTTCCTGCTGCCTGGTTTTGTCCCTGTGTCCTGGAGGCCACTCACAAGGAGCACCCCTGGCTCTGCTTTCTCACGTAATGGGTGTGACAAAACCCAAAGCACAATGAACCCATTTACATTTTGCCAAGTGGGCAGCAGTCACATGTGCTTTGGAATATGAAAATGAAGTGTTTGGAACACTGCACATGGCTGTGGAAGCTCTGCCCCAGCCCTTTGTAAGTATTAAGGGGTTTTATGCAACCGAGAACCATGCTTGCTGGCAAGAGAGACCATGTGAGCATTCCCCATGCAAGTGCTGGTCCTACTTCATGCTGGGAGCATGAATTTCAGGAGGTACCTTGTTCTCTCTTCCTGCAACACTGATCCTCCTCTGAGATGGAGCTGTGACTCGGCAGCAGTACTTCCATGAAGACAGGGGGATGGGTTTGATCCAAAGATTTACCAGGTGTTTCTCTGCTTTCATTTCCTGGAGCATTAGCCTCTTTTTGAGAGACTTGAGCTACTACATATAACTCCTAGTGATCCTATAAAAGCATATGCTACTTATTTCAATCCCTTGCACACGGCATACATCTATGGTCTTTTACTGGCTTCCACGGACTATTGAGTAGTGACTGCGTTCAGTTCTCAGCTCTTCCACTCATCAGCCATGTGGTCATGGAAAAAACCATTCATCTTTTTGAGCCTTGGTTTTGACAACTGTAAAATGGGGACAAATTCTTCTCTTACCTCATGGGATTACTTAATATCCAAATGAGAAAATGGATGTAAAAATTCCTTTGTAAACCTCCCTAAATGCATGTAATCACGGTGTGTCAGTCAGAGATTTGGATGCTTTCATTCATTAGACAAACATCTATTGAGTGTTTACTACTTTCAAGGGACTCTATGTCACTAGGATATACCAGTAAAACAAAACAAAAATAAACACCCAGCCTCATGGAATTCAAGTGCTGCTAGATATAGAATCCTCATGATGTGCTACAGCAGTCCCTACAGCTGAGGTGACAGGAATTTTGTGTGTACTTGGAAGCCATTAAATTTTGCACACAGGTCAAAGTCCAAGATATGTATATATCCTAACAACTAGATTGACTTCTCCAATAAAAAGCTGATTATAATAAACTTTGGGGCCCAGGATTCTCAAAGGCCATCTTAATGATCTAAGATCCACCCTTTGCAGTAGTGTTGGAAACGTTCTCATCTTCAAATGCCTCACACTAACTGAGTGACCACTTTTTAGAAAAGCTGTCTGCAGCAGATGCACCATATTGACCCACTCAATTGCAGCTGCAGCTGTGGCAGGCAGCTCCTGCACCTGCTGCCAGCATCTCCTCTCCACACTCTGCCAACAAATGCTTTTCCTAAGGGATTTTTCTCAGACCGGAAGTGTAAGGTGTTAACAATCCCAAACGCAGTCCTCATCAACAGGGACCAGAGTTAGGAGACCAATTCCTCAGCCTCTGGTCCTGCAGCCGGATTGAGCCCCAGTGGCCCCCAGGGGCTCCCTCCTCCACTCCTGCACTACACAAGTCTCTCGCTCCTGCTTCCATATTGACCCACTCAATTGCAGCTGCAGCTGTGGCAGGCAGCTCCTGCACCTGCTGCCAACATCTCCTCTCCACACTCTGCCAACAAATGCTTTTCCTAAGGGATCTTTCTCAGACCGGAAGTGTAAGGTGTTAACAATCCCAAACGCAGTCCTCATCAACAGAGACCAGAGTTAGGAGACCAATTCCTCAGCCTCTGGTCCTGCAGCCGGATTGAGCCCAAGTGGCCCCCAGGGGCTCCCTCCTCCACTCCTGCACTACACAAGTCTCTCGCTCCTGCTTCCTGGCTCCACCTCCTAATGAAACTGTCTGATTTGAGGGAAACACAAAGTAGGATATTAATCCCTTATGTCTCCCAATATTATTCAAGAAGGGCTGATAGTCATTAAAATGTCTAAGAATAGAACACTGCTGCCACTGGAAAGAATTCGAAGATCTTCACAAAGTGATTTCCAGTTCTTCTCCAAATTTTGGAATGTGCTGCAAAACAATCTCACTTCCTACCTCCAGGACGTCATAGTTGCATCTTGCATGATACTCCACATCAAAGTCATAGATGGTGAGCTGGATGCTACTTCCAGGGGTGGTGGTAACATACCAGATGCACTCCCTGTTGGGTGGATACCCGTTAGGATACCCGGGGCTGCTGAAGAAGCCTGAAGCTCCAGACAACTCCCCACCACAGCCTGTTAAAACAACAAGGCTCAGTCAGTTAAAGTGGGCAGGAGCCACTGAAAAACATTCAAAAGTTCAACTCACCAAAAGGTCAACAAATATACACAAAGCCTAATTTAGGAGAAAATCATGAAGTTATAATTATGCAGTTATAAAACAATGAGAAAAAAAATCATGGCTACCACTTACTAAATTTATTCTTTTAAAAAAAAACATTGATTATATCATTCAGTACAACCATACTAGGTCCTTATTCTCACCACTTCAAACCTTTGGTACCTTTTATTCAAAATGTTATTCTAATTTTAGATTTTCTTCATTATATTTAGGTAAGAATTACATAGTAGGAAGTACAATGGACTATGTGAGCAGTGTTAGACCGTGAACTTCATGTCTCTGGGTCTCCAGTGTCCTTCAGGGTCCTCATACATTATTTCTAAATCCCTTTCAGATCTAAGAATGAGAATTCTAAGTGCTAAAAATCTTCAGCTCTGTACAAGAGACTGTAGGAAATAAAAAAGTAAACGATATAGATCCTGACCCAGGGAACATATATATGGGGGGAAAAAATACAACAAATATATGAAACCCAACCAAGGAAAAAGACAGCAGGATATGTTTATGAATGTTTATATAATATACCTTAGAAAGCAATTCAGGAAGATCATTACAACAAATAATCAAATGGTGTGATATTTGGTATAAAGTAAAAAAAACCCCACTGTTCATTGAGCGCTTATATGTGCTTTACAGGTATTTCCTATTTTAATGCTCCTAATGACCACATAAGGTAGGTACTTATTATCTGCACTTCTTAAATGAGGAAATCAGTGCAAACAGAGGTCAAGTGGCTTTCTCAAGGTTGCCGGGATTCGAAGTGGTGCAGCCAGGACACCAGAGTATTGCGTTACTATCCTATACAGGTTTTCACAGAGTTTGCAGGAATTCAGACAGAGATTTCAGTAGGGGAGGGAGAGGAACCTTTGTTGAAGAAGTAAAATTTGAGGAAGGTTTATTATAGACAAAATTAGGGGGAAAAAAGATAGATTATCTTGTTTTCCAACAATAATTGCTGGTGATTAAAAGGACATTTTTTGCTCTTTTCATATTTCCAGGCCTCCTTTTCTATTTCTTTGGAATATTCTTTATTGGCTGGTAAATTCTTCCAAGTACCTTCTCTTATTCTGCAACAAGGCTTTTCATGTTTTAAAAAAAATAGTGCCTGCTCACTCCATTGTGAATAAATGTGCATTTTCACGTGAATTAAACTACCATGACTTCAAAAGTAAGATCCGTACACTGAGATCTTGTCTACTGTCCACCCTCTGCAAATTCCTCCTGTAGAGTGAGTAAGAAAAAAGTTTTAAAAGTTAAAAAAAATTTCTCCATACAGAATCCTCACTTCACTGAAAAGAACTGAGGAGAATTAGAAGAATCTTGGTTTGGTAAAGAAATCCAAGTCTAGCTCAAAGAGCTACCATCTTCTTGAGTTGCTAAACTCCTGCTTCCCCTCGAAAGTCTTTGTGTTTTCTAACTTTAAATTTGTTGCACTGGGTAATATTTTCACTATGTCCTATAAAGTTATTACCGATGAAAGAGTTGTTTAAAATTAGGTATGTTGATAGACATTGTTTATAGACTATGGTGACTGTCAAAAAAACAGAAGTTCCATAAAAGATCGGAAAATATTTGTTCTACTATAACAACACATGGAAAATATTCCTGAAGCTAAAATCAGCGCAGATTGTACGTATCTTCAGTACCACTGCCCAACTCAAGGGAGCACCATTTGCACTGCATTTTATCCAGTGATGCTTCCTGTATTTGGATACCCCCCTGGCTATATAAATTGTCTTAAGATGTAGTACCTTTTACTAAAATAAATTACAGGTAAGCAGAGCCATTCTGTTACCCCAATTTTTTTTTGACCTACATTTTCAGCTCATATGGTTCTCGGTATCAGCTGTATCAAACAAATAATTCAATGAAAAAATCTTTTGAGGAAAATAACTTCACGGCTGTGTGATACAAAAGAGAACATGGAAATGGAATCTTTGATATCTCATCTCTGCATTTTTATTTAGCTTTAGTTCATCAGCCAATCTAATTCAATTTCTTTTATCATAGTTTATTAATCTAAAACTCTGCATAACATTTTTCCATTGTCTTTTCCAATTGTTTTCAGGTTTCCTTGTGAATTCCTTTGCAAATAACAGGATACAGTACCCTTAAACTAGTCACTGTAAATTGGAATGGTAATATTAGCTTCTCAGCAATTAGGAATTCTTTGAAAAATTACTGTACAGCTCTGTAGACCCACAGTGTCCTTTTTCCTAAGATTAGAACAAACAATAAAAAAGAGCAGAAAAAAAGAAAAAAACAAAGCAAAGTTTTATTTTTAGGAATGTCATGTTCTGTTTGTTATCAATAGCATGTGTGTGTGTGTCTTTTAAAGGGAAATTTCAATATTATTATAAGTGATACCCTACTGGGGGAAAATACTGTGTAGCTATGAGAAAGAGAGAAAGGAACTGCTGGAGCTTGAAAACTCCGTGAAGTTGTTTTTTCTCCTTCATGCTCTCACTACCATCTGAGGCTTAACATACTAAAAGGTGAGAAATTTGATTTGAAAGTTCACATCACATGTAAAATGGAATATACTAATTTAGTGGTGTTTTATGGTTAAAACTTACTAGAAAATAAAGTTAATTCTGATAGTTACAGTAGAAATTTAACTGCATCTTTGTATTTATAAATTCTGAAAGAGATAAAATAAGTTTCAAATTCCCTTCATTCATTCATTTACTTAATAAGTATTTATTGAGCATATGCCATCGCATAAGCAGTGCTGCAGAGGCCAGGTATACTTAATGTCTCTCAAAAAAGGAACACTGGTAGACATAAAAAGTGCTTTACACACATACCCTGCTGCAAATTATTAAATTATTTTTGCTTTCTTTCAGTGTGCAAAGAGTAATTTCAGTAAGTTTTGTTTGTAAAAAAACAAGCAGTGAATTCTATTTTACCTTTTACACATTAAGTGGCCGTAAGTTACAAATAAGAATAAATAAATCATCATGTCACTGTCACTCATATTTGTGACTCTGGGTGCATGACCAAGGGGTCACGGGAAGGGGTAGGAAAGAGCTGCAGGACAGATCGACCAACAGGTGCCAGGAAATAACACAGGAGATGATGTTTAGACTTCCAACATCCTCTTCATCCACATGTTACCTGTCTGGTTGAATAATAGAATGTAAAAGAAATAGAGAAGTTTTTACACCTGGACATCTGTAATCTAAAATCCTCATAGATGGCAAACAGCTGCCAGGAAATAACACAGGAGATGATGTTTAGACTTCCAATATCCTATTCATCCACATGTTACCTGTCTGGTTGAATAATAGAACGTAAAAGAAATAGAGAAGTTTTTACACCTGGACATCTGTAATCTAAAATCCTCATAGATGGCAATTACTTAGAGAAGCATTTCAGGGGTCTACACAAAGAAAATGATTAAATGATGAAAATACCAACCAAGGAGAGAAAAATGGCATGAAGAAAAAGGAGTTTTGAGAGTTACATATTTAGGAGATATAGAGATAGGAGCTCTTTGCATTCCACTGGCATGAAAAGGTTTTCATGGAGGAAACACGATTTTAGAACTGATTAATTGGCATGTCAGATTGAAAAACTTTTGGAAACATTATAGCATACCAGACAGAGCATGGACTATCGCATTAGACAAGGTGGGTTACAATACTGGCTGTGATGCTTTTTAGATGAGTAATTTAACCTCTCTAATCCTTAATTTCTTTGTCTGTAACAGTATTAATACTAACCTCATAGGGATTCTATATAAATTAAATGAAACAATCAAGGTAAGATTTTTAGTTAATTGTCTTGCGTATGATAACCACTCCTATGTGCCACGTATTAAACCTTAACTGGATTTTATCCAGATATGGTTTGAGATTAGAGAAAGACTTGGAACTAGAGGAATTACTGGCTAAAAGGCCATCGTGAATAGAAGAGGTAAGAAATTGGTTGTTCATTAAGCTACAATATATTTTTAAAGACTGTCCATACTTATATGGTAGTTTTCAAAGTGCTTTTAATAGGTACATTATCTTTATTGAAATTCATAAGAATGATATGAGGTATGCAAGAATGATAATGTCAAGCCCATTTTAGAGATGAGCAAAGTGAGGCTCAAGAGAGTATGGGACTTTCCCACGTCATGTAGTAAATGGCAGATCTGGTGGCAAAACCCACCCCCTCAATCCCACCCCCAGTTCTGTTTCTCTCCACTGTGCTTTGTTGAGCATGTCCGCCCAAAGGAATGACAATATTGAACACTGCCCTAATTACTGTTCTGTCTGTCCACTGGGGGAAAAAAATCACCATAGCAACCTGGAAAAAGTAAACAAAGCAAAAATCTTTTTATTGACTTTGAGGCAAATCTGAAACTCTAAAATAGTAACATCATTAGATGTAAGCTTAACTGGAATAAAATCCTATGCTCTTCAGTTTTAAATAGTTAATCTTTGGAAAACTTTTATTACTGGTGACTGATAATCTATTTGATTTTCCTTCAAACTCCCAGTCAACAGCTGAAAGGAAGTGCTTACCTTATCAGCAGGAAACACGTTGATCTCCTGAACTCATAACAAGGAAGAGTTAGTTAAAAGCTGTTGCTAAACCTGCCTACTTTTGTAGAAAATGTAAAATTTTTTCATAAAAGAACTTTGCTGATACTGTTTTCGTTTTTGTCTAAAACAAGCTATGAGTTATAAAATTCCAGTACAAAAAGTCTAATAATAATCTCCTATGTATAGCCTGTCTTCAAGTTTGTGTGTGTTTGTGTGTTTTTAATAAAAGAGCTTTAATAAAAGCAAACCAACACTGAAACAACAAAATGGAATCAAAGGCACAAAGTTTAAAAAATACATTCTGCATTGCTCTGTGATTGCACCGATGTGATCACCTCTTTATACTTGGAATTTTCCTG